CGGACAATAGAAGAATAGAATCGGAAACGATCGAGTTCTTCCACGCTTTCATTGTGCGTTGCGAAATACGGTTACAGGGCTACAAAAATAAATTGCACGCAGCGCTTCCGCGATCGGTTGGTATCGGTGCATTGTGCATTTAGCTTTTTATAGTTCACTGCCAGCGCGCAGAAAAGTTCCTCGGCCCGTTGCGAATCGAGTTTTCCTCGGATCGCTAGCCGTGAAAAGCGTGGAAATTTCAATGTCAATATTACCGTCTCTAGAGATGTACGTATTGTTTTTTTTTTTATTTTACTATTGAAACACGTCAAAATTAATCTAAGGTTTCGTAATCGATACGATCGATTTCATGTCGGTATATTTCGATTTGTTTATAAAAAAGCGTTATTTATTTTTTGCTAGTTTTAATTTACTGCTCCTTGCTCGAGCTACGTGAATCTGGCGCCCGATTTTTCAAAAAATAAGTTCTTTTCATGGAAAATGATGGTATTTCGTTTTGTACCTTCATCAATGAATAAGTAGAAACAATTTCTAAAGCGGCCAGCACCCGATATTGACATTTTCGAAATCTGTTTTTTCCCTATTCTTTAGAATTGTTTGTACTCGTTTGTACCTCGATAGTTTAAATTTTACAAGTAACGGTTTACACGGTTTAATTGTAAAATTTATACTATCGAGGTACAAACGTTTACAAACGATTCCAAAGAACAGGGAAAAAAGCAGATATAACAAATTTTGGAAATTGACGAATTCCACTCTTACGCGTATCAACGATTGCTTGTAAAATTTAAACTATCGAGGTACAAACGAAATAGAAAGCGGTACAAACGTTTACAAACGATTCTAAAGAACAGGGAAAAAAGCAGATATAACAAATTTTGAAAATTGACGAATTCCACTCTTACGCGTATCAACGATTGCTTGTAAAATTGAAACTATCGAGGTACAAACGAAATAGAAAGCGATACAAACGTTTACAAACGATTCTAAAGAACAGAGAACAAATATTTCAATACTATCGTATCCATAAAAAAAGAATTAATGTTTGAAAAGTCGCTTGCCAGGTTCGCGTAGCTTCTTACTGGATGTGTCGTATTAATATTTGTGCAGTTAACGTTTACAAATAAACGCCGTTTAGTTTATTAATATAAAATGTATGGATCACCGAGTAACGTAACCTAATATGTACCGTTTATTCGTCCATCTATTTATTCCATCGACACGGCCGAGCACATTTATGCTTTACACGAGATCAAGTTTTTCCTCGTTAGGAAACGACGATGAAAATAATATTTTTGCCAGTTCCGTTTAGGAAAATGCGTCGCATTTATTCCCTCGAGCCTATCGACTTCCTCGCGCGTTCGGCAGTCTTAGAAGTATCCGTAGTCTATCTACATACGATTAAATGGGATGCACGATAGACGTATGCGCTCGACGCGTTTACGTTCCGTCGTAAAACTCGAGAAATCATCGCGAACCGACGATAACCGGCGGCTAGTCTGCATTTACGGTCGCATACATATCTCAAGTCCCGGATCTCCGACGATACGACTTGCAAATCTGTGATATCGACTTCGAAACGTTTCCACACACCGAACTATCGAGAAACGGTACATTTCGAGTAGAGCAGATTTTTATCGCGTAGATCGACGTAGACCTGTTGCGGGTTCCCCTTTTTTCCCCCGATCGTGACTCGAAGAGAATTTAAATCGTAGAGTTATAATCGCGCATCGAGACGTTAAAAATGTTCGTCGCGCGTGGTTAGAATTTAATCTAGAAACGCGTAAAGTCGAGCAAACAAGTTTCGCGACACGTTTATCCGAGATAAGAGAACGCCGACGGCGAAGGTAGCTTAAAATTTGGACGTCGTGTTTACGAATCGACGAAGATCGATTAAAATCGCTGACCTCGTACGCAACCTACGTACAAAAAAAAAGAAACGCGCTATGGACATCGGACTGTAAAGTCGAAAGATCGGAAAACGATAAACTCTGACGCACGGTGCGAGAAACGGAATCTACGTTCGTAAAAAAAAAAAAAACAAAAAAAAAAAGTGGTCGCAAAAAGTCGGTGGAAAATGTTTGAAGAGACGTAAACGATTGCAAACGGAGATATAACATTGCGGCGGGAATGAAAAATTCCAACGTATAAAAATAGCGTAACTAAAATAACGAGAAATCGAAGAGAGAAAGTAACAACGCAACGTACCTGTAAAGATCATTCTCGGTGACGATGTCTCTAATGGAATCCTCGGGATCGATGCGATCCGCCGGGACACCTGGGGGTCCCACGACCCTGGACGACAACAAGCGACACGGCGGTGGTTTGGAGTCGGCGGCCTCGTGGAGGGCGCTGGCCGCTATCAGGTCGTCCTCGGAGGCGGTGCTCGGCAAAGGCACGCTTGGACTCGGGGAACGCGAGCCGGATATCACGCCGAGCAGATCCTCGCTTCGCGAGTGTCTCATCTCCATACCACCGAACCTCCCGGTGGTCGTTCCCATGTTTCGCCGCTCGATCTCGAACACTGACGTCTTTCTTCTCGTTGCCGCGACCTCGAACACTCCGCAGAAACCGACGATCCGGCAACCGCTGTTACTCCCATCCGGACAAGCCCTCTTCTCTTGCTAGCTCTCATTCGACTACGTCCGACTCGACGCGCGATCCGCCGATTTTCATATCCCTCTCTGTTTCTCCCGCGTTCCTCGCCGCCTTTCGCTCCTTACGTTTCGCGTATATTCCTTCGTTCCCAGCGAACCAGAATTCCTCGCGTGTATCGCGATCGTTCCCCACAAAAAAAAAATTAATCCGACCGCTGTGCTTCGTTCGTCGAGCGTTAACCGGCGTCCACTACCGTCGTAGCCACTCGCTCGGGAATCCGCGACAACTTTTTAGACGGTCACCCTCCATTCGTGCGTGACCGTGTCCAGCGCGCTCCGTTCGACTTCGACGATCGTATCCGTCGCTTCGTTCTAGTTCATCGGCCCTCGTGCGTCCCGATTTCTCGTTACCGTCGTAATTCAGCGGGATTCGGGAACGACAGGCGACGTTCGACCAACGTCGTCGTACACTTTCTCGATTTCCAACGGGGTAACGTACGAAAAAACGGGGTTAACGGACCTTTTGCGTTGGTTCGCGCGCGTTACCGACCGTGTCGCGATACTAGACCAGCTTCATTGCGTTCTTCGAATGCTTTCCACGAGATATCGGGTACCGACGCGTCTAGATATTTACGTTGCGACGATCGCGAACGGTATCCGTGTGATCCAACGTCGCGGAACGATCGACGAGTCCAATCGCCGATAGAGATTCACGCCGCCATCTTCGTTGGACGATTCTACGAATCCGTGCACTTTGGATCTCGCGTCTCTCGGCGAACACCGAGCGCGGAGGGCACACGCGTCGAATAGGCTCGCCTCCCGGTGATTAAAGTAATTAGAAGGAGCAGGGTGGTTCTTCGCGACGGACCATGCGCGGTGAACAAAGGCGACACGCACACTATAGTTATCTACCTGAAAACGTCCACTTTCCGCGACGGGAGCTAGCGATAGACTGACGATCACTGGCGATCGCACTATTTCGACTGTTTACGCGCTGATTTTTCTCCGCTGTGCCACCTTTCCTTCGCGAGCCACAACCGATGTCTGCCGTAACGGGAACCAGACGGGTCGCTTCGTCCTTTCCCAAGGAAGGGGCGTGCGGGAAAGGATGCACGTATACTTGCGCGCTACTGCGCGTTCGCCGCAGGTACGCGCCATCGACCAATGAACGTCCCTTGGTTCCAATTTGGTCGCAGGTAAAATTTTTTCTACCCTTCCTCCCTCGTCCTTTCCTTCGACGAATGGTTCGCATTTTCGGAACCGTTATCTTCGGGAATTCTAATTCGCACGCGACAAGCACAGCGTGTCGTCGAGACTCGAAATGATTTAAGAATTCTTTCTTCGTTTCTTTCCTCGAGTACATGATTTTCGCAAAAGTGAGGTTAGTTAGCGTCTAAGCGGATACAAAGTATTCGCTTGGCGCAGCTTCGTGGAACGCCAGACGGCACACTGTGATCGACGAGATGGTCTACGAGAATGAAATTAAAAGTAACGTGGCGAATGCGGCCTCTTATGAGCGACGATAGAACATCGTGATGTTGGAAAAGCGTCTTCCGAGCTTATTCCATCGAATAGCTGCAACGTTTACCAGAGATGATCCCATCGTTGCCCGAGACTTCTTCGATCTTGATTACCGACCTCCACGCTGTTCAATACTTTACACGCAATTTCCCTATAATTCCTAGGGTATGAAACGTATCATCGGTTCATTGTTCCAATAGGTGGTGCATCGATCATTTCTGAATTACTATATGCAGACGAATGTCCTTTTGAACTCTTCCTTCCGAAGCTCAGCGTAACCTGAAACAAACAACATGTAATATAAATGACAGTTCCAAGTAAAACAGTGTTTATCGTAAATATCGTAATCAATTACTCAATCTGATTGCTCAGTCGGTCCAAGAATTTACCTTATCTATCTTGTTTTCTGTATCGTAGGTGTCGCTACGTTTCCGACTGTTGTTTATAAACTACCTTTGAACGCGTATCATTCCCGCTATTTTCCAATGAAATAGAAACCAATTGTTCGTGCATTGTTGCTTTTCTTTTCAATTATCTTGTACCTTCGCGATACTTTCGCTATGACGAGTTCCGTTACCACGAATCCATCGACTCTGTTGCCTTTAGGTAAGGTGCATTTTATTTACAACGTGTGCATAACCTCACTTTTTCATCGAGATGCTAACGTGTGTAATTTACAGAGTTAGTTGACAAATGCATCGGTTCTCGGATACACATTATCATGAAGAACGACAAAGAAATTGTCGGCACGTTGTTAGGTTTCGATGACTTTGTAAATATGTTGCTCGAAGATGTGACGGAAAGCGAAGCAACACCCGAGGGACGTAGAGTCACGAAGCTCGATCTGATTTTACTCAATGGAAGCAATATTACGATGGTTAGTATTTCTAAAAAGCATTACAGTTATTTATTCAATGTTACATTATAGCTATAACGTTTATGATATTTCTATTATCATCGATTCGTTTGTTGCAGCTTGTACCTGGCGGAGAGATGCCAGACACGTAAAATAACAACGTTTTTGTTACATTTTGTACAATAAAGATATAAAGACTAATCTAAGCATATGTAATACAAAAATTAATGTTCCGATTAAAAGTAATTATCAAAATAAATACTACTGAGCGATTAACGTATCGATGGTATTGATTACTTCGTCGGTTGCAGGTCTATCGATGGTATCTTGCGACCACATTTTTCTGTATAACGTTTTATAAACACCTTCGAAACCATCGTTCATGTCGTCGTTCTCGGGACGATTACCTTTTGCGGAAAGATAGATAATGGCATGACTGTGCAGTCCAGCGAATGGTACTTTTCTAGATATCATTTGCCAAGCTACGATACCTAAAGAATAAACGTCCGCTGCCGGGGTTGGTTTATTTCCTTTTAATACTTCCGGAGCTACGTAGCCTGGTGTGCCCTAAAAAACAATTACCGTTAGTAAAAAGTAAAGTAGCCGAATGAAACGAGCATACATGAAATTTGGAAGTTCGAAGTGGCTCGCCAATTAGTACGGAGCTACCAAAATCTGTAAGTTTTGGCTGGCCATCCGTTGACATTAGAATATTTTTAGGTTTAACGTCTGCGTGTACAACGCCCGCATTGTGACAAAATTGCAACGCGCACGTTACGTCTCTTAATATGCGAACTACTTTGTTCTTAGGTAGCGGTGTCGTGTTCAGATGATCTTGCAAAGTAGTACCGCATAATTCCATTGTTATCAAAGATAGAGAACTACCTTGCTCTATCATCAGGATTTTCACTATGTTAGAATGTCTTAACGATGAAGCATGTTTTTCGGAATTCAACACATCGATGCATTTTTCTGTCTGCATTACTTTAGCTGCCACTTGATTACCTATCGAATATTTCTATAATGTTCAAGAATGTCTCACCGCGTACTTTAATATACTCGACAAAAAATTACATATTTTACCTTTGTAGAAAGCTTTGTATACAGTACCGAATCCACCGCTTCCGAGTACCGTACCGTATTTCTTTGGAAGACCATCTTCCAATATTTTTCTCCTGTTAGGAGTGTCGATATTGAAAGGAGATAATCGATCCTTATTTTCCTTGTAAGTATTCCTGATCGGTGTCGTCGGACTTAAGAATTGTCTATAACGATATACGCGAAATGCTTTTGAATAATCGAAATTAAATTTCTAATATTTTCATGACTGCGTTACCTTTTTCTCGTGTTTTGCAGCACACGTGGAGATATGTTACACAATTTAACCGTTAATCTTTGTGGCGATGCCATAGCGAGATTATATATTTAGTTGAGGACGGTATACATTTGTCTTGTTTCTTATCGCTTCGCGGAATTTATAATGAAAACAATCGCTTCTAGTACAAGTAAGTGTCGCGTACACACATTGTCAAGGACGCGAATAGGAACCGATAATAGTAAATAACGCGCAAACAAATCGAAACCCTGTAATGTAAGGATTCCAAAAGACTAAAACGGAGGGGCAATTAAAAGGTTTTATTTTTCTATTTTCTAATATAAGGCGCGAACCACCATTTACTAGGAGTCTATTACTAATTATTACTCTTTAATACTGTACGATAACTAGATTATTTACAATTCTTTTTTTTTTTTTTTTGCGAACTCATAACAATTGATACGTGTTCCAATAATCTCTCAATATAGGTAATATCAGTGGTACGTGTATAATAACATGTTATTGTACTAGACATAACATATCTAATGAGATTTTGTGTTAAAAACTTGTCGCTAAAAATACATGCTCGCAAGTACTGCCAGTATATCTTACAGCAACTCTGGACCTCTATCGCAATTAGCAGCACAATATTTTTGATTCGAAACTAGCGTTTCGTACAAATTAGTAGTAATGCGGTAATACATACGTTTTCTTTGTTTTTCTCTTTACAGAAATAGTGAGGTTAAAATTCGTTTTCATTCGATAAGGTACTTTAGTGGATTAGCAAAATATTTTAACGAATTAAAATAGAATGTCTTTTCTCTTTGTAACAGCATTCAAAATAGTAAGTTTCATCTTTGTCTCGCGTACTCGATACACGGTAACATATTATTATTATAGCTTGGTCTTTTTCAAAGTGTAGAAACTTCACATTTGGAAAACTAACGACTATGATAAAATTAATAGTTACCGAGGCAAAATACCTACCAATACTGATCAGTTCTTATATCGAAAATAAAGTACAAAGTGAATATTTAAAGGAGCTTATTACTTGCACAATGTAGTTTTACTATTTTTAAGTTTACTTATGTTCTATTTTTAAATAAGTACACGATTGGTTTAAGAACTTTTTTTTCTCTTTTTTCTTTTTTAAAGTAAATGTGGATTAAAACTGACCCAAGCATTCTCGAAAGCAGCGTTCCTTACATTCCTGAACCGCCAAAAGCTTATTTTCTCAGGGTTTAGCGATATATCGTCAGGTACATCATATTTAGAGATTTTGGGAGTACCAGTTCTTTGATTGTTTAAGATGAAATTATTATTCGTGGAACGTAAATTTAGTCGAAACAACATGAATCATATATTTCGAAAATAGATCGACTCGAGATGTCGATAGCTTTACCGTACACGAGTACGACTTCTTCGTACTCAGAATTTTATAGAAAGTTTTATTCGAGTAGCAAAAAAATATTTCGATGAAAGGACTGATTGTTAATCGGTGGAACAATAAATCAAGTACTCGCAGTAGTTGGAATATAACGAAGACTGTCTTTCTTTTTCACGTTCGTCGACGTTTAAGTTTGATTTTACGGTGTTTGTAAAATATCGTGTTTTTTTTTTTCTTTTTTTTAATCTAGAAAGAGTGACGAGAATTTTGTTCGAGCATATACTCAACAGACAATACGGTATACGCTTGTAATTGTTTGCACGTAGTGCTAACGAGTCACGGTCCCAAAGAAATGAGAGCTACGATATTCGTCGATGAGAACAGCTAAGAAAAAACTACTCGGATATCTCTTTACAAAAGATTCAGTTGCATTCGTCCACGTTGTTTCCAAGTGGACGGACCAGCACCATTGATAATCTGCGATCTTTCGATTTGGCACTCTCGCATTCTGTGCCATTACGTTTAAATTTTTTCCTGAGCAACGGTATCGTTCATCACTGTTCGTTAGAGGCACTCGGAGGCACCCTTTTTCCTATCGACACCGAGAAAGATGAAACGCGTCGTAAATGTCGTTTAAGAATATATTAGATAACGTTCTGGTACTCGGCACGCTTTTTCGCGACACGATATCATCAATCCAGAATATCTTCATCTTCGAAGATCGAGCTCCGTTATCGCCGTTACAAAAGATAACGTTACGGTATTTTATATTCGATTAATATAATTTGACAAAATCCAGTTTCGCTCGAGTACCAATACGCATCGAAGATATCGGTAAAAGCAGATATCGTCGTTTCACTTTCTCCCACACGAACCTTTATCGATTATTTACAAATTTTGCAGTACAAAATAAACTTTACGTATTCAACGAGTTCACCGCCTCTTCGTGGGTATCGCGCACCCCTACCCTCCTTATCTTCATCGGTATACATATTTGCTCTTTCACGAAAATAGACTCTCTCTCCTTCGCAAACTCGCGCTAGCGCTGAAAGACGCTCTGATACGTGGATAAAGGGTTACGAGAGAGAAAAAAAAAGAAGAAAAAGAACGAATTTCTTCGAATTAAAACAACAGGATAGAAGAAGGAAACGAGGAGCAGAACGAATAATATATTTGAGGGAAGGGGGGAGAAGAAAGAGAGGAAGAAATAGGTGGTACATTTCGGAGTGAGTCGAATAAGGCACTATCTAACCAGGTAGCGGAGCTTCCTCATAGAAATCTGGTTCGTCCTCGTGTTCCGATCCTTTGCTATCGAGTGCCCGCAGCTCGGCAGCTGTGAAAAAGTGGCTCATCTGCGCCCTAAGAGGTATCATGAGAATAAGGAAGAACGGGAGCGCCAGGGCCGCCCTGGTGCTCTTCACGGTCCACAACACGGCCAGGCACAAGATCTGTATGAGCGTGAAGATGTGCATCTTGTACGTCTGGACGCGACGGACGTAATTAGCCGTGCCGTGATGTTTCACCGGCATGAAGAAGAGTTTCACGCGGTCGAACATTTGCACGCCGTTCGTCGACGATATGCCCATATAGAGAAACACGCCGAGGAGGACGGACATCGGTACGCGTCGCAGCAGCGGCGCCATCAGAACGCTCACGCCGATCAATACGGCAACCAGCAGAGCGCTCACCCTCTGCTCCTTCACCTCGACGATGTGGGGCTTGTCGCCGGGCGCATGGGTGCGAGACATCACCGTCACCGCCGAAACGTGCGTCAACGATCTGACAGACGCGGCGCAGCACCACGGTGCCCCCATCAAACCGCAACCGACGTTCATCAAGCAGACCACCACTATGTCCATGTGATACCCGTTGCCTTTCCGTAGCTTTCGCTCTTTCTTGTCGATGATCAACCTGTGAACAAACGAAATTATTTTTAATACCTCGCTGCTTTGGTTGGCTCGCCTTGAAACCCTCTACAAGGTTGAACTTTAGGAACTTGGGAATAATTTGAAGAAATTCCTCAACGATTCGATAGTACTTTAAATCAAAATGAACGAGTTTTAAACCCTTCGCACTCGAGAGGTGACTCTCAAGTCACCACTAGGTTTCTTTCAGGTTTAATTTCTTTGGAACTCGAAGTGTCAATAAAATTGTGATTGTCGTTGAGGCAAAGGTGACCTGATTTTCAAATCTCAAATTAGAATGTTAAGAAAGCAACGTCGAGTTGCTGACAGATACCAGAAAAAAAGCTCTCGAGTGCAAAGGGTTAAGAACGTATAGCTTCTCTATGTATTGTTCGCGAGAAAAACGAAGTCGAACGCGCCGTTGCTCGTTATCCCGCTCGCGAAGCTTTATTTACAGACTCTATTCGACGCGGCGGTCGCGGTTTCGCAATCGAAACGTCAACGATGGCTACGTGTCATAACCGAATGTACTAAAATAACACGCGTTAAATAATGTAAGACAGTCATCGATGCATCGGTTACGAAAATATCGCGATGAGGACGCGCGTCGCATGGGAACTTCGACAAGGTTCTCTTCTTAGAAACGAACTGCGCGATCGCGTACTGCTTTCTCTTCGATGCGATGGACAACTGTCGCTAGCATCGAGGGGAACAGAGTCGGGATAGTGGAACTTTAGAGACGTTTCGTGCGCATTGAAATTTGACTGATACTAGGCAAAAAAAAAAAAAAGCTCGTTTGTTTATAGAAATCTTACTCGGAGATCTGGGTTTCCATGAAGACGAGGATGTAGACGAGCAACGCTGGTACGATGCAAGCCATAGCCATCCACAACGGGATAGGTTTGTGCAAGCCTACGGGCGACACGAGCCAACTTCTGCCGGGTTGGGTCGGCGACAGACCTTCCGGTACCAGGAGCTTCTCGGTCTTCACCATGGCCGCGAAGTCGATCAACGCGAACAAGATGATGCTGATCGGCACGCCGAAGTCCCCGAAGGCTCTCCTGGCGCTTCGGCCGAGGTAGTGACTGTTACGAAAGATTCGCAGATAATAAGCGCCGAGGAACGTGCCGAGGCACAGGATGGTGCACATCAGCGCCGTGTTCGGTTGATTGATCAACAATCCGGCAGCGTTGCGGGTTGGTATCAAGGTCCCCGGTTTCTCCAACGGAATAATCACCGCGTCGCCTGTCTCCGGAGACACGACCTTCATTTCCGTCACGTTCACTTGCGAATCCCAGTACATCGTCTCGTTCGTGTCGGGAACGAAGCTGTACTCGTCGAGAAGCGGATTCTTCGCGAAGTAGTTGTACAGCTTGATGAACGTTTCGACGATGTAGAGAAGAGAGATTAATCCCGTAAAGATCTCTTCGGTGAATCGAGTGAAGAGCCTGACCAGCACGGATCCCTCGACGGAAGCGACGGCCAGCGCTATGATTCCCATCCACGCGCCCACGTAGACTCTCACGGTGAGAAACTCGAGCTCGTTCGCCAGACAGAAATTGTACAGGCTCTCGTCGAAGAGCAGGAGGGGCCCGGTCGTGCCGATGATGACCAACGGCTGGGTGGAGAACAGAGCCATCACCACTCCGGTCCAGGAACCGGACACCAGGGTCTCCGATATGCCGATGACGTTGTGCGTTTTGTCGCTCATCAGACCGCCGAAAGTGATGGCCGTGCACAGAGCGGCGAAGTACATGAAAATGGCGGCGGCCAAGCAGGAGGAATTCAAGCCGTCCGTAAAGTCGGACAGGTAGAAAGGATACCGTCTCTTGATGTCGTTTATCAAACCGCCGAATGGACGCTTCGTCCTGCGGAGCGGATCGTCGTCGTCGGGCGGTTTCTTCTCTTCCTCGCCAGCGAGAAGAGCTGCAAAAGGAACGAGTCGTTACATTTTTCCCCTTGGCTCGTTCTATAAGGGCACCGACCCAGTAATCAAAATCTCTTCGACTTGGGAACATTTTTCAATGAAAAATTGAAAGACAAAAATGAAGGAAATCATTTTGTTCGTTAATATTTAAGATTTCTTTAATAAATAAATGTTTTTCGCCAGCAGAAATAAATTTTGATTACTTTTCAGTCCTCCTAATACATTGGACGATTGCGTAAGTTCGTACCCGATTGTCATAGACGTTGCTAATGACAACTCCTTCTTTACCTTTCTTTACGGCGGCTTCGCTCGGTGTCGGTTTGCTCTTCTCCTCGAGCGCCTTGGCCTTCCGATTCCTTATGGCTTCGCTCTTCGCCTTGAGCTCGTTGAACGGCAGCAACGCCTGCCGTTCCCAATCGCCGGGAGGCAGAACGATCGAGTCGTCGAGGAACTCGTTGATCGCGGACAGAAGCTCGCGCCTCTCGTTCGCTTTGTACGCGATTTTGTGGAAGGACGTGTTCGCCATCAGGGTGGCGATGGATCTACCGATCTCGTGGTAGTCCAGATCGGCGTTCCTCGGTCCCAGAAGGGTGAACATGAACCTGACCGGTATAGTGACCTCCGTGACCGACGGAATGAACACGCCCTCGGCGAGCCGGACGAACGCGATCGTCGGTTGGTCCAGAAAATCGACCGCGCCTACCAGGACGACCGTCGCCTCGGCGCCCGCCGGTATCCTCTTCAGGATGTAGTCGTTGTGACCTCTCTTCAGATCCTCGTTGCTCCCGGTGTACGTCTGCTCCTCCTTCATGTCGACCGCCGTGTGATTCGTGTCCAACGCCAAGTTCGACGACAGGATCTTCGGCTTCGCGTCGTTTAGATTCTAAAGAGGACATTAGAAAGTTTATCAGAAAGGTGCTCGGAGGTGTTCCAGGGTGCTTTAGCGTGCCCGGTCGGGAACCCGATGCAAACAAAAAATATCAACAGGTGGCGCGTACACCAAGCAGAGCTTGAAACGGAAACACGGAACGCGACGACGCATCGCGGAGCTGTTCGAGATCTCGGAACGGATATATGCGAGGCGGAAGAATCTCGGACCAAGGGTGCGCGGGAGTCGGAGCGAAACTCCGGGTTGACTTCGACAGTTGCGGGGAAAATAGAAAGCTCCCAGACAAAGGACAGATGGAGACCGCAGCGTTCTATCCAGACTTGGCGATGTCGCTTTTGAGACATTATAAAAATACGTTTAAAGGCAAGAAATTGCTTGTGGAGGTTTTTTTTCATAAAGAGGGATCTAGAGATATCGAACCTTGTCTGCGAGCTTCTTATTTAGTTAACAGAAAATAAATCAGACGAAAAGGTCGCTTATAATATACAAAAGAAATAATTCTTATGCACTTGAATGAAGAACAAGAAACAAGAATCGACAGTATCGCCCTCTCTGTCATGGAATCATTCGAGACACAAAGATCTGTCTATCCTTGTCTGCAAGTTTCCTAAATTTTCTGCAACTGTCGCCGAAGACAACTCGGAGAGTTTCGCTCCGACACCCGCGACATTGCACCCTTCAGAACGAGATCCGAGTGCTTGGAATAAAAAAGACGAATTTCAGCACCAATTTTACATATCGTTTTCATTTTCGTCTCGTCTCGCTGATTCCGGCAAAACGAACAGGCTCAAGAGGTGCGGATACGTACTTGGGGGGAGGGGGTGGGGGTAGGCACTGCGAACAGAATAAAACTAAACAGGGTACGGTATAAAAGTGAAGTCCATCCCAACGAATGCGACAGTGCGACGAGAAACTATACTAACGGTGAAGCGTACAGTGGCCAACGTCAAGGGTGCAAGGATACGTCCTACTTCGAAGATTGAAAAGAACATCAAAGAAGCCTTCTCTAAGCGCAGAACAAAAAAAAAAGAAAGAACATCAAGCTACGGTAAAAGAACGTACACGTATCGTGGACAGGTGCCGCGTGAAATGCAAAACGAAAAGGACAAAAGCCAATTACTACGAGAGCTAGTCACGGTACAGATCCTCGAATCCCTGAGGATCGACGCTACCGATCTTGATACTCCTTAAAAAAAAAAAAAAAAATAGTCGCGGTTCGACGACGCGTTTTCGTGCAGAGGGTTCGTTTCGTTTTTTTTTTATTTTTTGTTTTCCCACGACAAAGAAAATTCGGAAGAAGCGATGAAGAGATATGAGAAAACACACTCATTCCCCCGTAAGTTCATGCCGAAAGATGTTAATGAGTGTGTCGGTGCGATCGACGATGGACGAGGCGTAAACTAGCGAGTAAGGTTGAAAGTACTGCGTTCGAGTTCGGGAAACGAGAGATTTACATGTTGGGTTACATGGTTCTCAGAGGCTTCCCGCGCAGCGTCTTCTTCCTCCAGACAGACGGACTGTGGAAACAACATTAGGACACACCGTCAGTCAGGGCTCCCGTCTCTACCAATTTCTAGCGATATTTTTTACCGTTTTGTTCCAACGATAATAATTCGTTAGGAAAATCGCGTACGTCCGAACACGGTCGATACCACGAAGTAACGTTAAACAAAAAAAAGAAAAAACAACTCGAAAGATTCGTTCGGGACTCGAACTCTACGAGTAACGTACATTTTAAACGTACACTTTTAAACGTACATTTTAAACGTACATTTTAAAATAGCTACGTCTCCTAACGGTCGATCCCTAACGCGTTTACTCGAATCGGGGAATCTGCGCGATAGACGAATACCGAACGCAACAACACATTCGATGCGAATCTGTCGCAACAGCGGCAGTGATATATCGAGCAACTCACACAGATCGTGACACGGTAATGTCTCGCTTTTTGATAAAATAAGTCGAGACCGCCATTATTAACAGATTCGAGAAACAGGTGGAAAATTTTGGACCGGTGGCTGGGGGCTGATTTCCGATAACGGATCTGTAACGAACACTTCATCGAAAAACGAAACATCATCGTTAAAGGGAAATACAGGGTGTCCCAAAAATGTTGTGACACCTTGAAACGGAGGGATTCGATAGGGATTGGGGAGGTGATTTGAAACAACGTTTTCCTTACCGAAGATGTTGTCCGAGGTTTCGTTAAGGAGATGTTAACATCTTTACCGACCGGTAGTCGATTAATCGACTTTTTATCCTCAACGCTCACCGACCGGTAACTGCTATGGTAACTACCAAGTATTTGTTACTTTCAATTGAGATACGAATTGCTTTGCTCTGTAACCTCTCGTATTTTTATACAATTTCCAGTGCAAGGGACGATCTGCTGCCGAGCGGCCGGTGAGAAGCGCATAGGATCTTGAACCGCTACCGGTCGGTAAAGTGTTAACAAAAAACTCCGACCAATCGGGGCGCAAGTATACCGACAAAACGCTCGCGGTAGCGTAGACCACGCGTTAGACGGCCCCGCCCCACTGGCATACTCGCGCTCCGATTGGTCGGGCTTTTCTATTACTACTTTATCTACCGGGCTATTTAGAAGCAGACTTTAATTAAAAAAAGAATGTTCTACGGTAGCATATGCCAAGTCTAGGCTGACAATAATTCCTTCGTACTGTTACAAGGTACATTGAAACCCAAGTCTGTTACCAAACATCGAACATTGTTCGTAGACAACCATCAATCAACACAGTAAATAAATTCGAATAACTAAGTACTGCAATTAAAAATCCTAGAAATAGGCTCCCGATAAATAAAGTGTTGATATCTCCTTAAAGAAGCCTCGGAGAACACTTTCGCTAAAGAGAAAGTTGTTTCAAATCACCTCCCGAATCACCCCCTTTCAAAGACCTCCGACATTTTTAGAACATCCTGCAGAGCGACGGCGCGCTCGCGAATCGGATAGTTACCTGAAGGCTGGTGTAGCTGGAGTAGTTTCGCTTTCCGCCGAAACGAAATCCGCGATCGTGATCGTGCACGTGCCTGTGCCTGAGGAGGAGAGCCCTCATGACTACCGGCCTGTCCTCCGGCAGGATCAGTTCCTCGATGACCATCTGCTCGACCACCCTGTACGCCAAGCCCGGCAGGTCCTTCTCCTCGAGGTCGAGAAGGACCACGCCCGTCTCGAGGCATCGGCGAAGATTCAGCAACGAGTGGAAGCTCAACGAGGCCACGTGGGGCCTGCCCCACCTGTCCGCGCCCTCCTCGACGTCCTCCTCGTACTTTATCCATCTCGCCGTTTCCCGCCATTCCCGTTCCTCGCCGATACCGTACAATTCGTCCAGCTGGACGAACACCTCGTGCGGCGAGTGGTCGTACATCTTCTTGAAGGTGTCGTGAGGTATGCCGCCCTCTTTTCTACGGCCGATCTGTACCGTCAAATGGGCGGCCTTGTGCCGCCTCATCCCTCTCGGATCGTCGCTCCTGTGGGACTCGAGGTCGTCGATGTCCAGCTCCTGCAGCGTGCTCGCCTCCTCCGGCTGCACGCTGACTCTCCTCGCGAGGACGCCCGTGCCATCGGGGAGTCCTGCTCCCGATCGTTTTCGCCATTGCGGATCCTCCTGCAGCGAGTACTTACGCGACTTGTGGTGGTGTCTTCTGCGAGAACAAAATTAACAGATTTCACGATCATCGTATGAATCACGAGATAGAAAATCGAACTCGGTGAAAAGCTTTTTTTTGGTTGGCACCCCTCGTATTCCAGTATCTCGTATCTATCCGTTCGTGTTCTGTTAGCACCTCCCTTATTTGGAGAATAAAATGATTCTCGGTCGTAAAAAATAAACGCGAACGATACGTCAAGACGAGATAGATATTAGAGATTCGATGTTTGCGAAAAATTCCGTTCGGTAGATAGTCGATACGCGCGTTAGTCATTCAACCTCGAATCCGATCGCTTCCGCGCCTCCGTGTCAACGATTTTCGACGATACCGAAATGTACCGTAATCCGTGTAGTAGGCTTCTATTTTAAGATTTTTAAGTAAATCCATATCTGAGAGCTATTCTACTTCTAGGTTTCCGAGTTCTTCCACTACGACTGTCCGTTATCTCCGGTATCTTATGCTTTCTAATACACGCACGATGTAGTGGTGTTGTATCTTACCATGTCCGAGTAAGTTTTACTCGTCTAGCGATTTATCGCGTGTGAGAAATCCTATTAGGGGATACATATACATATATATGTATATCCGCGGACACGTGAAGTTAAGCTGCTCGAGATACTCGTCTCCTATACATATATATATGTACTTCACGTGTCCGCGGGCCTAGATTTGAACTCTCTTTATTTTTAAGGGATCGCGAGCGAGTGCAGCCGTTTAGATTTCGGTCGTCGTCGTTACCGATATCTGTACGCGTTACAATTACGTCTCGGTTCTTCTTAAAAGCTAAACGATACCATCGAGCGATGTACAGGGAGAATAAAGTCCGTCGTTAACGACGTGAATTTCGACAACGATACTTTCGAGTCTCAAGCCTTCCCATCGGTGTATTTTTACTGTACGTGTTTTGCCAGCGACCCAGCGAAATGCTGCGAACAATGCCGCCTCCGTTGACACGAGGCACGCGACCGAGTGCCAGAACTGTTTTTGCGCTTGACCCTGGCAGTCAGAGTCCGTCCGGTCTGCCATTGACGAAGATCAGACGGATCGGCCAGATCTCCGTCGTACGAAGTCACGAAACGGCGAAACACCTCGACCGAGACGTTCTCTGCTCGTCGTTTCCTCCGATGCGGCGAAAACGTTGCTCGCGATGTTACGTTCGTGTGCGTGCGGTGTCGAAGTTTGTTCCGTGACTGTAGCGTACGGTCGATGATATACGCGTTCTTTTCTCTTCTCTTTTTTACGCGCGTACGTTCGACATCGTAGAGAACGTTCGTTACGCGCGTAAATCAAACACGTGCATTACCAGAAACGGGAAAAGATACTTTTTGAGCAATCTGATGCGACCAATGTCCATGTCGTAGCGGTCCGGGCGGCCATCGTAGTGTAGAGACATGCCGATGAACGAGGATAAATCGTCGCATTCGTCGCACCGTGATCACCGAAAGACAGGAGACGCGATCGGACTAATTAGAGGAACGCGAAGGCAGTGGCCTCGAGCATCAGACTGCCTGGTACAAAGCACGACGAGACGAACGCGAATCTCTGGCCGAAGGCCATAACATTAGACACCGATTGCGAACTGTTTCGCATCCCTTCCGCTAAACATCATGCAATTATCTAATACCGAAACCGCCGACGGAAGTCGAATCGCCGGACTAGTTCACGAGACGCGACACCTACGTCGGATACGCGAACACCTTCCTTCCCACTACCGTTCGCGCTCGAGGTACTCTATTCTACGACCAACGGCAGTCTCGATCGCCAAAAATTGTACATACGCGCGCGTAACAGATAAAACCGTCTGCTACGAACATCGCGCCGCGTCGATTACGCTTTGGTTCGTTAATCTTGGACTAGCGCGATAAGGTCACGTACTTGGTCGAGGAAACGGTGCGATATTAGTTCATTGTTAGAATATTCGAGATAACGTTAGGATGTTCGAGCTAGACGAACGCCCGAAGCGGACCATGTGTGTTTAGTCTCTGCGCGTTCCCACCTTCTTAAAGGAGGTTTCAGGACAAAGGACTTTTGTAAACGAAGGGCCTGACATCAGGGATGTCCTCGCAACTGGGATTTCTGGCGGAAGTCGGAACTGTACCGACTTGCATCGAAACGAGAGCTTTCTTTCTGAATGTACGATCTTTTTACACTTGTATTGTCGCTATTTTTGCGCGTTCTATCAATTTCATCCTGACTTCCTTGATCCGATACATAATCCTCTTACATAATCCTGTTACTTTAACGCTTCGACCACCAGGTGATCCCATATGTGGGCTGATAAGGATTTTCCCCAAGGAATTAGATACATTAATCCGCGGGAAGTCGCGAATTTCGGGCGCGCTTCCGAGATTGAAACGCGACGAGAGCATGTAACCTGATCGCGGAGCATTCGTCGCGAGCATTTCGTGGAAGGAGATCGACCTCGAGCCATCAGCTTGTGCGTTCGAACTTCACCGAATGGAATTCTTCGCGATTCACGGATTCGCGATCGTTGCCTTTTACGGTCTTAATGAACGTACTGAACGCATGCATACGTATGTACGCTTGCGTAAAACCGCGATTCTTAGGAGACGACACTTAGCCAGGAATGCTCCGATTTGTTATTACAAGCGAGGTCGACTCGTCAACAGGAAATCTCGTAACTCGACAACTGTCGGAAACGACTTTTTAATACACTGCGGACCAGACATTTTATTGCTAACCGTAACCAGTGCCTGAGCGACGGAATACGAAATATCGCGTCGGCCGTTCCGCAATGTGTTTTACGGCGGCGCTACTGTTTGTCGTTCTCATCATGGGACGGCGCGATGGTACATGCCATCTGATGGACATACGAGCGCGAGCCACCGGTGATGCACGCCGCCAGATAGGACATAAGGACGAACCACCAGTGGTACACGCCGACGGAAACGTGTTGATATACGCGAATTTCGAAGTTTGGTCGGGTCATACATTATTCCCCTATCCAAATGTACATTTCCGATATTGTCGCGATACTCGCAATACGTACTGCCATTTGTGATTCTTGCCACGGGTCGGCGTAGTGGTACACGACTATTAGTTTGTATCACCGGTGGTACACGCCGCCGGAGTGGAGCATATAAGTGTGAGCCACCGGTGGTACACGCCGCTCGATTAAAAAATTAAATACCAAGACGAATACTAAATCACCTAATCTTCGATAGTCTCGATGCAAAATTGTAACTCCGTGGGAATTTTCACGTGTTAATCTAAACCCTACCACGACAGACTACGAGCATCGTTGCAACGAAAAAAAAAAAAAAAAAAAATAAAAAGATCGCTGCAACTCTTTTTGGCCCTGGGAATAACGAATCGAAAAGTCCACCCCGCTCGGCGAATAACCATTGCGCGGATGACAGTTGCCTGGCATATCACGTTTAGGGAGAACGAATCCGTCTACAACCTGAATAGCTTAATTGGTTGAAACCTTCTAATCCGGGATCGTACCCCCGTTAAGCAAGCCTGCTGACTCGTTCTCCCTCCCCGCGTCGTTAACGTTCCATCGGAACTTGTGCCTGGCGTTGGTCACTTTCACGAGCCACGACGCGTAGAGCGAGTCGGAAGGCGAAGACGAAATCGAAACATTACAATCTGGACGCGAATAGACGTAAAACAACATTCGATCACGATCGAAGCCGGTCTTTGATCTTTGACGATGGAAATTCTAGGCGTCGGGAATCGACCAGGGGAAACGGTACGAAATAAGAGCGAATTCCTGGGCTCGCGCGCGATAATAGAGCACAGTTGCGACCCGACGCGGTTGCAAGAACGATAGTCGAGACTACGTTTGCGGACCAAATTAAACAGTCGAGCGGAACAAAGCCTTCCGCACCTAGGAAATCATTTTATAGCCGACCATCTCGTAAACTGGGATTTTTGGATAGTTGCACGCTGCACGTGCCTGCCAGGATCGTACATCACTTTTAACCGTTAGCCATCGCGAAACGTTTCCAAGAATCCCAACACGATACTCGTAGGAAAGGTCGAGGCGAAATTCTTCTCCGAATGCAGCATTGTCTCGAGAGTGAGGTATACGCTATTCAAAGACAAAACATGGGGTTAGCGACGCACTATCGATACAACTAACGGTATCGTTTGAAAAATAACACATGTCAGAGAAACAGAAAGCATAACACGTGCTCCTTCCGCTAATCTCTTCGGTTTCTCGCTTCTTTTCGGATTCTCTCACTCGGCGGACGACTTCAGCCAAAGAGGTAGGGACAGCGGAGTTGCTTATTTCGAGAGAAGTAAGTAACGTTTCCAAGTTTTGCCTAAAAAAAAAATGATTAAAGGCTTACTTGTGCTCGTGTTTTTGGTGTCTCCGACACTTTCGATCCTCCTCGTGAGGCGGTGGTGCGGCGACGTTCGGCGCCTCGTCCGGCGGGGGCGTAGGAACGTCTTCTTCCTTGATATTCTCGAACTGCACGCGAGGGCTACCAACGGTGGGACCGTCGGTGATACCGGAAGCAGCCCTCTCCGATATCGGCGCCTCGCTCTCGCTGCTGACAACGTTCTCCGTCTCCTCCGCGGTCTCCTCGGCGGTCTCGTCGTCGAGGTCGTGCGAGTTGCTCGTCGACACCCCGTTGTCCATCGTGTCCGACTCCTGTTCGACGCCATTGCCTGCATTCACCTGACCGTTCTCCTCTTCTTGACCAACTTCTGCTGTGGATCCTTCGCTGCAAACACGACGGATACGCTTTTTCATTCGCGTTCGCGTTTTTACACAACGAAAACGGTGCTTTCGCTAAAGAAACGAATTCCGAGTATCGTTTTATGGGTATCGCAGGTCGAACGACTTACGGGGATAGATGCCGTCGCATAGATCTGGAATGGATGCTTTTCAGGGGCATGTGCGGATGAGGGTAACTTCTCTTTCGGTGCTCTGAAAAATATATATTTACGTATAAGTATAAAAAATATAGAGAAAGACGGCCGAATCAATCGATACTTACTCGTTCGATACGAGATATGTTAGGTTCTCCCAAAAAGTTTCTTCCATTTCATTCATGAGTAATATACACGCGACTTGTTTATTGACTCCATTGACAATACTAAACATAGGTTGCATAAGCTTTTTATAGGTAATCCCGCGATTCATCTGCGTTAACTTCGTTTTCGTTGTTTGTTAATATTTATATATATTTGTTTATTTGTCAACTGTCAACAATCTTTGTTTACTATTTGCTTTATTGTGTCAATTTTATAATGCGTTATGCCCGTATATATATATATATATTGAAATAAATATACGCAGTATCTTATGTCTAATGTTACGTTATTGAATCGCGTACGAACATCAACATCCAAGAAATTTGATTGTCTAATTTCATAAACACTGCCAGATAAAATAACTGCAAGTGAAAGTTACGGAAGAAACTTTCGGGGCGATCTAATCATTTCACTCGGCAATTTGAATTCCGATTCCTATTTTTGAAATACGAGTTTAGTATCGCTCGTACTCGAAATATTTACCTAGGTTTCGCCGATCGCCGATGCTGGGACTAGGATATATCAAGGGTCGCTAACATTCCGCGATACCGCGATATTATATAATGAATAAATTAATGGTCAAGGCATGCCAGAAAGCGGAATTGCTTTAACCTTGGACCGCGAGAAATGATCGAGTTACGTAACCGTTTTCTGTTATCGGGGTCCAGACCGAGGAACAATGAATTTACCGACGTCGCGACGCGAGGGACAGAAAGCTTCGGCTGGGTTACGTGGCGAAAACCAAGGTTTTTTTGAAGTCGAAAAAGAAAACTTTCTTTCGAGCGTCGATGAAAGCAAATCTGGATAAAACTCGAAGTTCTGAACAAAACTCGCGAATTTTGAAGAGAATTCAAAAATAAGTAATGCGATAAATATTAAATTCTACAGGTTTTAATCGTCTCGTTATTGTATCGTATTTGATATCAAGGACATGTTGACCACAAATAAAATATTCTTATTATTATTATTATTATTGTTGTTTTCATGAGAATCAGACTGTCAACGTGTATAATACGTACGATTGAAGTCGCGATCGCTATATCGAGGTGGTCCTCGGTCCCGATCTCGATCTCGATCGGATCCAGCCGATTCGGTTGGCGAGCCGAGCCGGGCTACGTCGAACCTCTTCCCGCCGTCCATCGCGAAAACCTTCTCCATCTCCTCGTCGAGTTCCGGTCCCGCTTCCGTCCCATGACCGTCGACCTAGTATCGAGAAAAAGAAAACGTAACGTCCGCTGGTACTCGTTGTTGCCACTAAGGGGCGGGAATTTTGTATTTTCAAGTTTTCACGTTCGTACTTTTTTTCTTTAAAGAAAAAAGAAAAAAAAAAAAAGTGAAAAAAATTCTGATTCCTAAAAAATCCATTCGGTCTCCGTTTATTTCGCGTTGTCATGTCTGGCAGGCACGCGATGATACAAGTCTTCAAGTCGAGTCGATAGAGAGTCGAACTCTAAGCTTCGATTTTCAAATCGCGTAGTCCGTCTCGTTCTCAGTCCATCGCGCGCGACGAAGCTTGCCGTTGATATTATTATAGGGAGTTACAGAATATCGACCCGTTCCGAAGGATAGAGGCAACACCTCCGAGCAGCGACGTTTCTTCTCGACGAGCTAATACCTTAAGCGGGAGCTTTTCACCGCTAAACGACATCGGAACGTATTTATCGAACGCGACACGGTCAGTTTCATCGCGTTACTCTAATCGAGCCGCGAAGCGTGGCGCGACCAACTCGTTCGCTTTCGAGTCGGTTCTACGTTTAATGGGTACGTCGCCGACGTACGATGAATCGATCGAACGACATCGATGCCGCCGATCTCGGCTCGAAAAACGATACTTTTGTTTACGATCGATGTCGTGTTTCCTTCTTCGTTACAGTTTCCCTCTTCGACTAGTGTTTCTCGAATTTCGACTTCACGGTGGATCGTTGCATCAGAGGTACATCGTTTTTTTTTCTGCAGGTTAACGTTTCGCTGACAAGTACACGGATCTGGGAAACGCTGCGTTAGACGGTGTTACGTTACCCTTTGGCTCGTTTAATGCGTTTCTCAACTTTTCCACTGTAACTACGCTTAATCATTTCTCGGGTATTACGAATGTATGTGTAGATATATATATATATATATTGATTTATAATGAATGTGTGTGAGATCAGTAAGAGGGAGAAGTATTGTTGAACCGCTACCTCGATACGTTCACGCCGGCGTGTACCACCGGTGGCTCACGCTCGCGTGCCTATCAGATGGCGAGCACTATTGCGCCGCCCCGTGGCGAGAAACAAAAATAACACCGCCGGCGTGTACCACCGGTG